AAGAGTCTCACAATGATTTTAACACGTATCTCTCAGGCTAATTTGTACAAGTACTCTGCATTGTGGCATTATTAAGAAAATTATTTTGATGCAAGCCAAAAAGAGACAGAGTTACAAAAAAAAAAAAGTGTTAACTTATAATTTTGTCCAACTTAATGCTGAGAAAAGAATTAAATGAGTGAGGGGGAAACATATTAAGAGTCAAGTGAAAAATTTAAAGAAATAGATTTAAAATTTCCATCCCTTTGTGAACCTGCTGTGCTACTGCCAGATTTGCAGAGAAGCCTCTTGAGGGCATAGCAGACAAACCACAAGAAATCCCATTGAGTCAAGAGCTGAGTTTACACTACTTGAATGCATCTAAGCCTTCAAAGCTCAGATGAGCTTCAGCTGTTTCATTCTCTCTTCTGTTACGTAGCTACATGGAAACTATGAAGCACCCTCAAATAGAGAGACAATAATACTGAGTTTTAAAGAGAGAATTGTCTAAAGACAATTCTCTAAAGAGAGAAGAGAGTATTACCAAAGCCCAGCACTACCAAATACTTACTTGTAGGTAAATAAGCTGCTAAAAGACATTTCATCCAGATCAGAACAAGATGACAGAGGAGTGACTCCAGTTTACTCTCAAGTATGTCTGCTACTTTAGGAGAAAGGATAAAGGACAAAAAGTTCACCTACTTTTTCCCCAAAACTGAAAATTTCAGCCCTGGGATATTCATGGGTGAGATGAGAAGCAGCCACATCACTGGACTTCTGCAATTAACAACATTAAAGTATCAGAGTCCCTGTTTTGGAAACCTCCTCCTATTTTAGCTGTACTTACACTTTGAAAAGGGGTATTAAATAAAGTTAACTCTGTATCCTCTTATAAAATAAAAACCACACTTTCCTATTCATAAAGTACTAATCATAACTTTGTATAGCATCTAATAATATCAATAAGCACATAATCATAACTGCTGAATATAGAACTGAAAAAAAATATTTATTTTATATACTTATTCCCCCTGCAAAATAGGGACAATTCTAAAATCAAATACTGGTATGAACAGATTGATAATGTCTTTATATTATAAACACAACAATACAGTTCTGGCTTTGAATATTAACACCTCAGCTTCGGGACTCTAAACAAAATGTGTACAGTGAAAAACAGAATATTGTTGCTCAGAAGATTAATCAAAAATAGAAGCCAACTTGGAAAAGAGAAAACCATCCAAAAAACCAAATATGCCCTAGAAGATATTTTTTCTCCGAAATATTTAAATCAAGCTAAATACGAAAAATCAAGTTAGATAAAAATAAATCAAGTTCAATTTGAAATGTGACAGATGAAACAACCCAAAAATACCCAGCTGTGGTATTTCTTTTACTGATAGACTGGAGAACTGTCAAGCCTTCACTTATAAGACCTTTACCCCCATCCCATTTGAACAGCACGGGAAATTTTTTCTTTTCCTTTTTTAATAAGCTCAAGGGCATCCTGGTAATCAGAGTATTATGTAATTTGCCTAAATAGGAATAATTCTGTTCCAAAGGCAGATTAGCACAGTGCTGGGGGAAATAGGAAGCCGATGGCTGAGGCTGGAAAGTGCCAAGGCTGGAGCACACAGATTATTCACGGATTTATCCCCCAGTATCACTTGCTCAGGCTGCTGGGGGGGACTGTGGCAGCAGCAGAGGAGCCTGCTGGGAACAGAGAGCACAGGGGTAGGTGTGGGGTTGGAACAAACTTTCTTGGATTAAATGAGCCACAGGCTGCTAATGGAAACAGCAGAAGTCCTGGACAAACAAAGGAATACCTTTGCCTTAGAACAAGTTTTGAGAAAGAGTTCTAAGGAATTCCGAGTACTGAGTGCAGCAATGACCTCTCGTTAGGAAATCACAGTGTTAAGCCAAACTTAGAAGCAAGAGTGAGATATATTAATCCTATCCAAATATTCAGCTCCTCTCAGGTCCTCCACAGCAAGGCTACTAAATTTTCCAGATTTTCATTAGTGTATGTCAAAACTCTTCTGCCAAGGATAATTAATTACTTATGTCTGACCGAAATGTAACTAGGGATGTTTGGAATGTGGTTAATTATACACAGAAGCCATCCTTTTACACTTCCAACCTTGAGAGTTGCCCAGAGAAAAAAAATCTACATTTCAAATTATCAAACATAACCTGAATACTTACAAACTTCAAAGAAATAGCCAATTTGTGGTGGTCAGTCTTCACCATTTTGCTTATTTACCTGGGAAAAAAAATAAATCCTACCACCTACTTATGCTACTTGACACACAGAGGAAGCACAAACAGCCTACAGCTGAAGCAAATCAGGCTCTTTGGATGCAGTTGGCTCCATAAAACTAGTTTGCTATTACATGAATATAATGAATAATTTCCATCTTGAGAATTTATCATCTATAAGAACACACTTGCCTTCCTGTTAGTATTTAAGTGACTAACTCTCAGTTTCTATAAACACATGCATTAATGTTTTCTCTCTAAGCCTTCCTCTCCTCTATGCTCTAGCATTTTTTACTTTCCAGAAGAATTCGACCATTTTTAGTTTTGCTCAATATTTTATAAAGGCAAGAGGCATTTATAAAGCAGATTTACAGAGCCTGCCGTGTCAGGTGGATTTCTGATGGTGTGTCAGCTGAACATATTTCCCTACTCTAATGTCTATATAGTTGATAGCTCCAGTCAGATAACAACAGAAAAGTAATAGCACCAGGAGGCATATGAGCAACCCTGGGAAGTTATGTCTGTCTAATGGGGATGGATTGTCCACTGTGAAATTTTTAAAGCATCATATACAAAACAATGAGTTAGTGGTTGAAAAAGCAGGGAGTTCTGCTGCAGAACAGCTTCAGAAAAGCTGTTATCACCTCAGTAAAAGAGGTGAATCAGAAAGCTGGAACATTGACTCAGCAAATTAATGCATGAGCACATGTTGCCACAGATGCTGGAACTCTGAAGACTGATTTTCAGCTATGGTTATGAAATGCAGAATTTCAGAAGCATTACCTTGTTGTTTTCAGAGAGCCAAAAGTAAATTACTGCTTACTAAAAAAACAACAGTGGCTGCTGAGTCAGATTGTACAACGTCAATTTTCCTTAATAATCATCCTACAAGGAATTTGAATGTTAATGGGAAAGCAAAGAAATGAGAATGTTAATGAGAAAGCAAAATAGGCACGGTGTTGTCCACTTGAAAATATCAATACTGCAGAAGTCAGTGAGAGCATTCTCTGCTAAGATTTCAAACACTATAAATATTAATATACCTTATATTACTCACTAAATCACACACAATTAGGTGTCAGTGTACTGTGTTGTATATATTATATACAAAGTTGAGAATGCTTTATATATTTTTTCTTTAAATGTACAGCTAAATGCTGCTAATGTGCCTTGCATAGTAAAAAAAAAAAATACACTCAATTTCATGTTTCACATGAAAGTCTTAAGTTTTTTCATACATTATTACATTTCATGCAGGAATGTGTATGTTTGATAGAAATGTTTCCAAAAATGCAGACTTATTTTCCCTGTGTATTGTGCTTAAATCCCTATTGCTTTGTTTTAAATTCTTTTCTTGCCAGAGAAACTTAATTTATTAGAAGAGACCAACACGAGAAGCAACACGAACATCATGGTTTACTGTGAAAATAGGCAAAAGCACTTCAACAGTTCTTTATCATTGCTCATTCTTCCAAAATGACAACTTTATATAACACTGAGAAGAGCTGACTGCTTTCTATCCTGTTGTACTAACAGCTTTTGGCACAGGCAATTATGACTCAATTTAAAAAACCCGAGAGAGAGCATTTGCGTGTGAACACCAGAGATGGGCCAGCTCGTTTTTAGTCAGCTATTAAGCATAACAAAATGGCATTTGAGTTCTGCCTGGTCATTCTTCACCTTCCACATTATCTGAAAAAAAAAAAAAAGAAAAAACAGTCAGTAGGCAAATGAGGAGGGTTTGAAAATGAAAATAGAGCAGAGAAGAAGCAGAGTGAAAAAGACTGAGCAGAAGCAGTGATTGCAAAGAGCAGTGGAGAATGGCTAAGGCTGTAAATCTCTAAATGACAGAATGCTTATTCTAAATGAAGTAGCACTTGCTTTCACCAAAAACAGCCATTCATTTTTTCGTGTATCTTTCCGAATAAGATAAACTGGAGGACGAAAGTTGGTAAATTTTATCTGCATAATAATTCAGGCATCTTGTGACAGCCTATTTCTCACCAGCTTCCCAAACTATTCTACATCCCACAGACTAAGTCGTTAGAAGCCTGCCAGATTAATAAAACCAGAAATACCAAGGTTGATCATCCCCAAATCAAATTATTTGTGACCAAACAAAACAGCTTTGTAGCAATTCTTTTTCCCTAAGTGAAAAAATTTTCATTTTTCATTCCTAAAACACAATAGGTAGCTTCCAGGAATTACCTGATCAGTGAACCTTTTGGTCCTGGGGGATGTAGGTAATCTGAGGCAGTGTGTGTGCTAATTGTCTCCTGCTACCTGCATTTTCCTTATCAACCACCTGGCTTCCTACTAAATAGCTGTTGGGCTCAGTTACACTCCTAAAAAATATTAATGTCAGTATTTCAGTTCTTCTGTGGTTATAAGTGAAATATTTGTAGACACTGAGATTCCTCTTCCACCACCTCCAAATATATCCTATCGGGAATTGCATGATATTACTTTCTAAAAGGAAAACAAAGAAGTGATGAGAAATGAGACTTGCTCCCCCAAAAACATTTACCAAACCTTCCAACAGTCTTTTTTGGAAACAGATTGTTCTTTTGCAGTCAAAAGCAAAACAAGAAACCCAAATGATTCTTCTGTTGAATATCAAGGCTGTATCCTCCACTACCTTGAGCTGATCAAGATATTCCATAATAGCAACTTTTAAGTTCAAGTCTGATATCTTCTCTTTAGGAAATGACTGTATCCAGGAATACATGTTGCTTAGGAAGTTTTGCTGACCTGTTACTCACCCTGTATCTTCAGCTTGGCCCCCAGTGATTCAGCACAGCACAGTGAGTGCTGCTACCAAAGCTGGTCCTGTGTTTGCTGATACTGAAACTGTCACCACAAAGGGTCAGTGGGATGAGAAGACACTTTGGATCCTGTCTTACACAGAGGTGTTTTCAGAAGCTTTTTCATGTTTACAAGGTGATAGCTGAAGAAAAACACTGCAGAATTTACAGTATTTTAAAATAATTGAAAATCATTTTAATTGACTATGCACAAATTTGTGCTTCTTACATCAGTACATATTTGGGACAAGTTGCTTTCGAATTACAGAGAGCTGACAACTCTTGGCATGTCAATTCTTAAGAGCTCAAACAGTGCCTAGTCTCAGAAATTCTGTGCTTTTTATCAAAATAATTGCCCACAGCACATCTGGTCATAACTTCTGTTATTGTCATGAGGCAGAAGAAGGAAAGTGCAATGAAAGTACATTACTGTTTTTGGAATCATTTGCAGGATAGTTTGTGGCAAGTCCTATGCTCTGGGCTTTCTTTCAGAAATTTAGGCCTTGGCTCTACACTTCCTAGACAGATTACCCACTCACTTCTGTGAACTTCAACTAATTTTCCTAAACATTAACAATATGCTTGCCTCCTTTAATCAACTATAAATACAAATTTATTACTGTCAATATATTAAATATTACTAGATTTACACAAAAAGTTTTTAAAATGCACCTACAATTATATATGCCTTAATGGAGATAATCAAGAGTTAAATCTTCCTCTAGCATAAGTTGCTGGGCATGGTCAGTGCTCGATTCCCAGTTAATCAGGCTCTGCTGTTGGAATAGCTGCTTAGGCACACGTGGCCTCTCTCTTGAAGGATTATCAAATTTGGGACTGTTCACAGTAATCAGAGGAGGCAGGCGGTGCCACAGCTTTAGAAACCTGCCAGTGTCTCGCAGAATGGGGAACATATTTCAGTCAGCATTTCTCAACACGTTCATTAGCCCCAGATTGCAGAAATCCACAGGATATCTAATGCCAGGTTCCCAAACAACTACAGCAATAAATTTATTTAACCCCTTGTTTCAGCTTAATCCCATCCTCTCGCTGTTAAGTGCACTTTTTATTCTGAAGTCAAATCAAAATCTCAAGATAAAAATCAAATTCAATCAAGGTGAAGTTGGGGAAAACAAGTATTTTTGGGGAAAAGTATGACAGTTCATCCAGTTGTTTCTTTTTTGGAGGGTCAGACAGTAAAAGTGATTTTTCCTTGTCCGAACTCTTTGCTGATATCAGCTTATCAAAGCTGGAACAGTGTGATATCATGGAGAATCAAGTCTAGATCAGCTTAAGATCTGGTCTAGCCTGTCTCAGGCCACAATTGTGGATACTATTTATGTTATTCATGTCTATGTATCATTTTGCAGGCTTGGCAGTTGAATTCTACTTCCAGGTCTGTACTTTTTTTATCTTCCAGGTCAGTAGTAATGCAGTTAGGAAAAAAAAAAAACAAACCAACTACAAATGTCCACCTGTCTCAAGACAAACTACATATAAATGTGGAAATTAGGAGTACACAAGTAATGTTTACTTCCAGACAAAGCACTTATGGGTGAGCCAGTTTTACACTCTAAAACCCTTTAAGTGAACTTGGTTGAATGCCCAGTCAGTCACACGTGCAGTCAATGAACACTTTGCTATTAGGTAAAGATTGATAAATACATTAGGACACACTTGTCAGCTCTCCTCTCCCTTCGACATGTTAATTATACAAGACTGCATTGTAATTCTACAAACCACAGAGCAGAAGTGCAGAAGGAATACCCAGTCTGAAAGAAATATCCAAATAACGTTTTAAAAAACATCCCAGAGGTCTTTTGCTGGAACGTGTTAGAATGACAGATCTAGTACATTGCAGAAATTAGTATATTTTTGTGTTCAGAAATTTTACAGTCATATCTCACATCACAGTTTTCCCTGAATCTCCAAGAACAAGACATTTTGCATCAGTGGAAATTGCTTTGTTACTACTGGTCTATATTCTTTTATTTACATTAAATTTGCATTAAATAACACGGTTATTGAACTGGCTTACCTTCTGTGCCAGTTCTCTTTTAGTCTAGTCTTCTGCACTTTTGGAGCATTTTGTTTGCTTTTGCTTTGCCCTGTAAAGATATTTTTCTAAGCAATTAAGTCAGTTGCAACTCACAGGCTTGAACAAAGTGAGTATTCTTCAGTTTGCTGGAAGCTCTAGTGATTTAAGCAATAGGAAGCTACACAAAGGGGCAGCTCACAGTGATGAAGACAAATCCCATCTGACACACCTCTACAACTCCATTAAGTCGTCTGTTCTCAATGGCACAATTTCTGTACATAAATGAAGAAAAACTCTTATGACAAAATTATCTACAGCTAAAATTATGATTTATTACAATTTAAAATTTAAAATTATTTAGATTTTAAAATTATTTAAAATTTTAAATTATGTGTGTCATTAAATACCCCACATTACATAAAGCATGTTTGCATGCTCTACATTTTCACATATGTTGCCGTATCATAATGCAGTTATAATCAAAATTTCAACTGTTAAAAATTATTCTTGCCCAAACTATATTCCATTAAAATGAAACTGCCCTTTTAATTCTGGGTTATTCTGTGCACTGTATTTCAGTGAAAGGCATATTGATAACACCATTTTATGTCTTTGATCACTTAAATTAGACAGTGACTTCTTCCATAGGATAATGGATAGTGCCTACAGAAATGACTATACAAATCCAAAATCATTTATCTGGTGGTAGTGAGAGTAAGAAAGGTGTGGATCATCGACTGGGGAATGTCCATGACATTCTCATTGCATCTAATTAATAATCCTCCTTAAAGTGCTGATCAGCTCCAGCAACTGGGACTTCATACAGTAAAAACTTCATTGAGTAGAGATACACTGACTTTTTGAGGGGCAGCTTCTGGTGTAGCTCCATGATGGCCAGAAAATAATGACATAGTGCTTCCTTCAGTTTAAACTGGTTACACAAAATATTTCCAGGGGGTATGTTGTGCAATCTTTTGCAATTTAAGGATCCAGCCTTCAGAAAAAAAAAAACTCATGGAGAACTGAGTGAGTTTGGATTCAGAGAGACATTCTTGCAACAAACGTTCACACTATTGTCCTCAAAGGGTTGTCATAAGCTCTTGCTCTCTATCCTTTCTTTGAAAACTTCTTGTCTTGCTCACAGCAACAGTTTGGAGTCTGTTAGCACAGCAGTGTGCTGAGAATGGGATTCTGTCATGTTTCAGTCACTCTCCACCAAAGAGGGGAGAAAAAAAAAATAACCCCCCCTCACACTAAATTCTACTGCTAGGAAGTACCAGTCACAGGAACTACACTGGGCTCTGAAAAATCACACCAAGGCAGCAATAAGAAAGGTTTCACTGGCTCCTTTATTTTCCCAAACCCATCCATTGGTTAGAGACTCATTAACAGATGACATCTGAGCCAAAATTCTGCCCTCAGCCATTATCTCAAAGTAAAACTATGACAGGAAGATTCACCTGGACAGTTTCTCTGCAGGAACACACAGGGCAGGATAAACTGTGCCCCACAGGAGATATCATACAGACTTCCTACAAGTTTTCAGCAGTGTTTCAGTCTGGATATGGAATTTTTTCCACTGAAGACACCTCCCACCCCCCCGAAGCTACAGCTTTGCAAGCCTATAACTACAAGGCTGGGAACATAATGAGCTCCCTGCAGACTTCTTCCCAATGCATGCAAAGAGATGTGCAAAATATAAAGTAATATTGCTAATTAGGCAGGAAAAAGAGGCCTGTAATTCTAGTCCCCCAAGCAGCTGGGCTGTTCCCTTCCACTGAGGGCATCAGAATGACCTTGTCCCTATAACGCTTGGCCCGACTGTGGAAAATCAGCTGTGTGCAAACGCTTACACGGCTTCCTGAAACCCAACTTTTACTGCTGCCGGGATACCAATGCCTTTTTCAGGAATATTCTCTACTCTCTATGGATACAAGCCTTCCACCAAGTGGCCAGTTCCTTTATGGACAATTATACTGATGATTTAATAGCAGAACCAGAAAACAAAGATAAACCAGCATCGCACATGCAGCTGTTTCCCATCGTGCATCAGTTAGGGAATGGTCAGGTCATAAGTGACAGTCAGTCCACAAAAGCAAGTTGCTACTACAATCCCTAGTTATCACCTCTTTCCTGAAACTCTTTGCATATTATAATTTAACATACCTTGTGCTGTCAAAGTTACCTTTAATAAATGAGGTTTACTTTGAGCCATCTTAGGTCTCTTGCTGAAATACAAATTCAGGAAGGTTTATTAAAAGTCAGACTGAGTATCCATAATTGAATAACCCTCAATAATGGGAGACTGGTCAGGAACTAATAAACTATCATAAATACAATTTAATTGTGGTACAATATTGAGAGCTTCCTAGAAGTTTTCAGGGAGAACAGTTTATCTGAAAATATTGATGCAATAAAGCTCAAACTTCCCAAAGAAATAAAAATCTCATCAGATGGACTGTGCATTAAAATCTTTTCACAATAGCCCAGCTGGATGTTTCTCTTTTGGCATAAAAGAGATCTGACTAGAACTTCCTTTCCTGCCTTTGTGTGGCAACAGACTTGAAATATATTATGCTATACTAAATGGCAGAGTTCCCAACACCCTACCTATTCTGGACCAGGAAGCTGTACATCTGTCCTGGCTCAGTTATCTTTGCTCATTAAGATGGTCTTGAAGCTGGACATCATTTAAAATCTTGGATTTAGTAAGACTTGGAATAGAACATTTTTTAAATGCCAGCTTCTGCAGGCTTGAAATTATTTTGAAAATCAACTCCAACATGACTGCCATTGCAGTACATTTCTCTAAGTACAAACATTAATAAATTGCTGCCAATAAATACTTAAACAGAAAATGCAACATTTATAACTGAAGGGTATTAAAGTTACGTACCTGAATAATAAGATTTAACCTTAAACTTGATCAGAAATTTGAAAGCCTGTTACTTATTTCTTTGTGTTTCCTTGAGCAGTACACTCAGCAGCAGACTAACTCAGCAGTAGACTGCAAGAGGCTTATTTAAAGGAAGAAATATAGACAGAGCCAAATCTGATTATTAAAAAAGAAAAAAAAAAAAGAGGGGAAAAACTTTAGGAAAGGGGGAGCAGAAATTCCTTCCCAATGCAAATTCTCGTATTAAAAGTCAGGCAAAGTTTCACAGCTCCTGAAGCAAAAATAACCAAATGAGAAGCACAAGACAAATAGCCCTGCTGCAGACCCTTCTAAGCCTGAATACATTTCAGAGGTAATTCTCTCTGAGAAATTTCTCTGTCTATAACTTCTTCTTTCACACATAATTAAGAGCTGTCATGATTCGGGTAAAGAGTTGCTGGAAGTAGGATAGTAATTGCAATCTTCCACCAGGGATGGCTGCAATAAATAGTAAAGATCTTTCACGAAACAGTACCTGCCTCAAGAACAGAGCCACTGTCCCCATCACCTCCCAAAAGCACATGGAAATCTGCTATGGCAATTTAGCTCAGAAACACATATACTAGAAAAAAGCCTAGAGACTACAAAAGGGATTCAGACTGGCTGAGCATTTTGTAGGGGCAGGTGAAGATGCTGTTTAAGAGATTGACACCTACCAGCAAAAGTCTTTCTCTCTCCTTTGCACCTCATTTTTCACCAACTTTTTAGAGAAATAGAACTTGTGAATTCTCTGTGAATAAGCCAGATTGCAGTTTTTAAAATCAAAAAATCTACATGCAGCATCTTTGTTTACTTCCTTTCTTTTTCCACCTGAAACATCTGTATGTATATGTAATACAGCCTGCATATGACTTAACACTATAGCACATGTGTCCTCTCCTCCCTTCCTATCTAATAATAACATTCACAGTGCACATGTAACATCACAGAAAGCCTCAGAGGGTAATTTCATTGCTATTCTGAATACATGTATTCAGAGTAATGTGTTTCTCTTCAGAGATCAGTATCTCCAGTGGTATTTCTATAAAGTCTGTTTAGCCCTGATGTGAATGCATATGCATTATGTCCTCCTTGTTCAGAGTAAAATGCCTCACTGCTTTCTTCTGAGAATTGCTTGAAGCCTCAGACATGGAACTGTTGTACAGCACCTGATAAAGTTTTGAACTATTAAGATGTAATGCTTTGAAAGATGACCCATGAACCAAGACTTCTTCAAACATGATTTTTTTGCCTACTACAGCTAAACGGATGTTTATCAAACGCTGCAGAACAAAAAAAGGAAAATGATGAACACTTCATGCAGAACAATCGCATTTGCTTCTCTCTCTAACAAAGTAACATTCATCATTTTCTTCCTCCCTTGCTACATTCTCCTATTTTCTTCAAGAGATGCTTTGGAGTTGGACATTTTGCTTTGCCATTTTATCTGTCAAACAACTCAAAAGAAATCAATAATCTTACTGGAGTCCACTAATGTTTACATCCATTTTCTTCCTTGTCTTTCCTTTCTTCTACTTTTAGCAGCTGTGTTTACTGTGATTTTAACAACTGCATTCTCTAAGTGATGCATCAACACAATTTAAAGTCATTATTGTACATAATCAGTTATGATACCTACCTAACTGAACAAGAAAAATTAAGTAAATGCCTTTCAAGGAGCAATAAAAAAGAATTCTGAGGCAGCAGGAATTGCAATCATTCAACAAATGCGTTTGTTTTAATTTGTGTAAGTACATTTTGATGAATGTCCTAAAAAAGTCATACCAGTGATTTAACCAGTAAACTAGTTTTATTTCATAGCTTTCTAATAAAGTTTAATGTCTTGCACTTGGGCTTAATACACAACACTCCTGAATTTTGATGTGTAGTATCTTTTTTGTATAACTAATACTCCCTATTTAAGTTTATGAATCAGCTCCCTCCTCTTGGGGGTAGAATGGAAGTGGTGAAAGTGTTTCAAAACAGCTGTAATGTATCAGCTGACAGACCAAGTTCCAAACAGCTCATGAACAAATGCTCTCTCTGCATTCCAACCCACCTCCATAACCTCCCAATACTTTACTTGGTATCAAGAACCTCTCTTTCTGCCTTTATTTTCTTTGGAACAAAAGTGAAACTTTCTTTCTCTAATTCTGGCAGGTGAACCACTGAACAAAAGAGAGTGTTTTGGGTAGTACTTCCTGTAGTTTTACTGCACTTAAAGTTCTAAATGTCCAATAACTGGATATATAGGAGACTGCAATTAGGACCAGCAAAAAAGCTGACTTCACTCCATGACAAAAATGCAGAGATGTTTAGAATCACTCCAGGAGTTTACTTCTTAACTGACAAACTTGA